GAGAGAGAGAGAGAATTGCTCTACTAGGGGCATGCCCCTCTATTGTATATGGGAGAGAGAAGAGAGATTTTAGGGGTAAGAAATATGGGGTAGAGATTTGGGTAGGTACTCTCATTTTTATAGTGCTTGAATAGATTTAGGGTTTTACTTGGTTTGTCTCTTCGTGTGAGATTGAATATGCACTATTGATCTTGGGTGACTTGTGGGGTACGAGATATGACTCGTCCATTCTATAGATGAGCCATCAACATCATATGAAAGATGCTAGAATCATTATCCCCTACTTCCTAAACCATTTTTCTATCAATTAATTTAAATAAAAAATTAGTATATGATAATATTATCCTTTCTTGTTTTATGCATAAACCTTCTCATACATACAAAAATTTCAATTAAAATTTATTCAAAGCTTAAGTTTTTTTAAAACAACACTTTCTTATCCCTCAAGCTTTAGAGCTTGAATAACATAAATTAGAAAGTCTCCTAGGTGGGGCATGCCACCCATTGTTGCACATAATGGGCCGCACCTAATTTGCTATGGTGGGCCCACAAGACCTATAGGGCTTCGCATGCAATATTTAAAATAATATTTATTTCTAAAAATTTATAAAACCATATTTGAATATTTAAATCAATATAAAATCAATATATCTGTTTTTATAAATCAAAATTTGATAAATAAAATATCAAGAGATTTTAAAAAATTCAAATAATAATTTTAAAAATCATATATTAATAAAATAAACAAAATTAAAAACTTTGATGGGAAAATAATCCATATAGTTTAGGAATAAATGTGTACTGGGACACTTCACCTTCTATTGTGAACCACATGCCATACATGCTTTCTCAAACCGACTCAGCGTTGCTCATGACCCACAGTTTATACAGAGGATCATTAATAGTCACCAAAGTCTAGCTAATGGGCAAGGGGTCGTGGTCTCAGTCTATGGCTTTCAGATTCTCCTCTAAAGACGAACCAAAATTGTAAACCTTGATGCAATCCATTGCACGATGTTACATAGGGGTTATCTTTAGCACATATATACGCTTCACCCTGAAAGGTGGTCCGTTTTCTTGAAAACAACTATCAATGTGCATGCCGTTGATGACACATAGATGGGGCTTTGACCCCATCTCTAAAGGCCTCCATCACACGCAAAGTTCACACTGTCACTTGGCTCATTTATCCGGGCATACTCCAACCTCATTAAGGGATGACCCATAACCCTTATCGGTCTGTTTTTCTATGCAGAAGTAACATGGGTTTTTTCCAACCAGATCGACCTAGCACGTTAAGCACAGTTTGGTATTATTAAATATCATTTGCTTAATATGGTCCACAAGGGACCACACTCCCACTGAGTTCATGTTCCACCATTTCAATAAGTTCATGTATAAGAACTCATAACACCTTTAATGGCCACATACATCCAACAACATATCTCTATTTTGCTCACCTAACTCTAATTATATGTGTGACATCTTTCTTAATAACTTTATTTTCTTAGATTATCGAACCAAGATATTGAAAGTGTGTTCTTTTTAGTATTTCTAGGCCAACAATCTTAACCACTTCGTTGTCTCTAGTTGTATTATTACTAAACTTATATTTCATATACTATGTCTTAGTCTAGTTAATTTTAAAACTTTTAGATTCTAAAGTATCCCTTCAAAGTTTGAACTATGTGTTGACGTCGCTTCGGGTCTCATTGATAAAAAATATATCAGTATACCACAATGTATCAAATATATGTTAATTCTCATATATTTCGGCAGACATGTCTTTCAGGCAATCCAAACATTAGAAAATCATCTTCCAAGTTACTATTCAAAGAACAAACATCTATATTTTAGGGTATACTAATTCTAAGAGAGACATCTTTCTCGGATACCCATATCTAGAGAACCAAATGTAAAATGTAGTCTCATTTGTGCGCAAAAATTGTGACCCCTAGTGTAAAATGTAG